GAAGAGGCAGAGGGGAAGAAAAGAAAAGCATTTTACTAATTGTTGGTGTTAGTGGGATTGAATCTCCTTGATGTTACTTCATTAAAGGGGGGCAAGTAATGTAATAGATCAAAGCACCGATTAAGTGTCATACTTAAGTTCCAAACCCATCATGGGCGAGCTACTTAACCAGTCTTATTTTCTGTATCTTAAAATAGGGTATTTGTTTGAACTCATAGATTTGCTTTAGGGGTTAACAAGATAATGCATGCAAATGTTCTAAACACTGCTGGCATATAACAGGTCCTTTTTTGATGGATTTCTTGGGCTTTGTGGCCTAGTGTCTGTCACATGAGGAACATCACTAAGAGCGTGCTTTACTTTCTCCCCCAGTTGAGTCGTGGTGACAGCTTGAAGGAGCCAACCTCAATTGCAGAGAGCAGCCGCCATCCCAGCTACCGTTCAGAACCCAGCTTGGAACCAGAGAGCTTCCGTTCTCCCACTTTTGGCAAAAGCTTTCACTTCGATCCACTGTCCAGTGGCTCACGCTCCTCCAGCCTCAAGTCAGCCCAGGGCACAGGCTTTGAGCTGGGCCAGTTGCAGTCCATCCGTTCAGAGGGCACAACCTCCACCTCCTATAAGAGCCTGGCCAACCAGACACGCAATGGGAGCCTATCTTATGACAGCCTGCTCACTCCTTCCGACAGCCCTGATTTTGAGTCAGTACAGGCAGGGCCTGAGCCAGACACGCCTTTAGGCTACACCTCTCCCTTTCTGTCAGCCCGGCTGGCCCAGCAACGGGAAGCCGAGAGGCACCCACATTTGATGCCAACCGGCCCAGCACACCGAGAGCCCTCACCAGTCCGGTACGACAATCTGTCGCGCCATATTGTGGCCTCCCTCCAGGAACGAGAGAAGCTGCTACACCAGTCACCCCCACTCCCAGGCCGTGAGGAAGAACCAGGCTTGGGGGACTCAGGCATTCAGTCTACACCAGGCTCAGGCCATGCCCCTCGTACTAGTTCCTCCTCAGATGATTCGAAGAGATCACCCTTGGGCAAGACTCCACTGGGACGCCCAGCTGTGCCCCGTTTTGGCAAGCCAGATGGGCTAAGGGGCCGGGGACTAGGGTCCCCTGAGTCAGGCCCAACTGCTCCATACCTGGGCCGATCTGTGTCTTACAGCAGCCAAAAAGCCCCACCTGCTGTTTCTGAGACGGAAGAAGTGGCCTTGCAGCCGTTACTGACACCCAAGTAAGTATCAGTCCATCTTGGCCCTCAGCAGACTTAGAATTAGCATCCTGCCCTGCAGAAGGTATCATCACTGCCCTGTACATTCTAATGCGAAGGGACCCAGGCTTATCCTGCTTGTGGGTAGCTCTTCCTTGTTCACTCACTCCAGCCGCCTTCATGGGCCACTCCTGTTAAGAGACTGAAGTTTAATACCTTTCTCTTAATCCTGCCCTTCGAAAAATTAATTTACTTGTCTGAGTGTAAATATACAATATAGCTGCTGTTGGAGAGAAGGAATAAATAGGAATAGGGAATCATGCTTGTTTCAAGCAGGGCAGTAAAGCAAAAGGGAATGTTTGGAAAGGAATTATATATGTACTATGTACAAACCATTAATTAAAAATCGTTCAGCACACTAAAAAAATAAGTGTGTATGGAGAAAAGTACATCATTCTTTTTTTCCTGAACTTTTACAACCGCCTTCCTTTTCTGTGTTTTGTGTCCCACTTCCTGACACCCCTCTCTTTTTCTTCTTAGAGATGAAGTACAGCTCAAGACCGCCTACAGCAAATCCAACGGGCAGCCCAAGAGTATAGGCTCAGCCTCCCCTGGCCCAGGCCAGCCGCCTCTCAGTAGCCCCACAAGGGGCGGAGTCAAGAAGGTGTCAGGAGTAGGTGGCACCACCTATGAGATTTCCGTGTGAGCCTTCGGCACCTCTTCCCCACACCTCTGCGCCTACACCAAAGGGCCCCCCAGGTGGCCACCTTCCTTTCCTCAAGGGGCTCCCCTCCCCTGCATGGACATTTTTTAAACCACCTATTCCAAGAGGATGAGGAGTGTTTTATAAAATGCAGTGGGGTTGGGGAGTCGGAGAGTTGGGGCCCGGAGACTGGGGCAGCAACCCCTTTTACCTTTTAAGAACTTCCCTTCCTTAACCCCTGGACCAGACTCAGTGGACATTTGTGCAATTGCTCGCCCTGGAGAGAACCAGATCATTTTTAAACCAGAAATAATTTTTTTTATTATTGTTACGGATTCTATTTTTTTCCTCTTCTGCGTTACCAGGTGTGTGTGTACATATATATATATTATAAATATCAAAGAAATTATATATCTATCCTGGGATGGGAAAATGAGGGAGGGGTATGTTTGAGGAGGGATCTTATTCTTCCCAGTCCTCGCGCCAGCAGAAGAGGGAAGATGTGGACGGAAGTCTTCCTTTGCCCCCAGGTTCCCTCTTTAGTCCACTACCAATTAAGAAAATAGCACCCTCTGTTGGTGCTAAGTGATCAGGAAGGAAACCTGGGAGGGGCGAGTCTGAGGTCTTGGTCAGAGGAAGAGGAGTTAGTTTTCTAGGCTCATTGGCACTTAGTTTCCCCAGGAGAGGGGTCACGGCCCCGTGATTTTTGGGTGGTGGGAGATCAGGAAAAGAGCTTGGCCAAGCTCCAAAAACAATTGGATAATCCCCTCTTCTTGGGACGGAAAGATTAGGGTGGCCTTCAACTAGCCCCTCAAAGCCTTCCCCCATTTCACATAGTTAACATTTTTAAATCCAAGGCCAGGAGAGAAGAATCCAAAAAGCAATATTTTTCATCACATGCCAAAAACGGGGGATAGAAAGAAGGAGTGGCAGGCCTAGGCCCCTCCGATTGTCCCTTGAGGGTTACCCCTCAGCCCACCTCAGTATGGTGCTGGGTAGAGGGGATACCTGGGTTCTAACCTCTAAATAGAGGAGAGGAGACCCCAGCCTCTAGATAGAGGCCCTTTTTATTTTTTATTCTGATTAGCCATTTTAAACCAACAAGGAATAAAAAGAAATCCTGATCTAACCAGCTCCCCCTGACTTGTGTTATTTTGTCTGGTTAAGGCAGGGTGAATGATCTCTGGAGGGGAGTTACAAAGAAAACCTCATAAGCTTCTCAGGTCCTGACCCATCTTTTGTCAGGACTGTAGTGAAAAGAACCACTTACGACAACAGGTCCTGGTTTTGTTTCCAGTGGTTTAATCCAAAAATTCCTGAAAAAAATCATTTGTAACCACTAAAGCCTGTCATTTTGAAGCTTAGAGAACTCTTGACTTGTGCCACACTTGTTCCTTAATACAGAATTGTCTCTGGAAAGTAAGGTTCATTTTGTATGCAGCCAAATGGGAGACTGGATGATGGAAGTACGAAAGCGCTCTAAAAGGCCAGCTGTACGTAGGGGCGGCAGTTCAATTTGATATCTCATACTTTCTCTTCTCTTTGCGAAAGCAAAAGGCTGTGCCTTATTTTTACAGGCATCCTTGGACACTAAATCTCAGAGAACTGGCCAGAACCATTTATTTTTGCTGTCTATATCTTAAGTATATGAACTCTTGCTCTGAAATCCTAGATTAAAACTGGAGCTAAATGAGTAGTTTTCTGCCTACCAATCTAGGAAAAACCCTAGCTCATAGCAACAGATTTTAACTGTTCTGTCAAATTTAGCTTCAAGTCTTGAGTACATTAGGCTGGGTTTTCTCAGGTTTTTTCAGTTACCTGGCCTGCAAAGACCTAAGGGACTTATTTTTACATTTTGTTAGTTTAGGCTGCCTTTTTGTTGCTCTCTTAGAAGCTTAGGAATGTTTTCACATTAGCCAAGTACTTGGTCTTAACTAAGGAATGAGGCAGGTCCAACATTCTTACTATAAAGACAAGAGAAGCATTTACCTTTGCTTGCCAGATACTCACTTCAGAAAAATCATGGGCTTGACCAAGAAACAACTGGCTGAAGTTCAGTGGTGACTGTAGGTGCTTTTTTGGTTGGCTATTCTGTTCCAACACAAAATTGACCTAGAATACAGTTGAGCCCTAACTGGATCAGCTCTTCAGATGAGGCCTGAAGATCATCCAGGTGTTTGGTCCTCAACATTATGGGCAAGGTGTTAACAAGCTCTGCCTAACCTTTGGACCATGTCCCCCAATCTCATTTTGATTGGTTCCCTGTGTACTGATGAGATAATATAATACAAGACCCAAAT